TGCTGTTTGTACTAACCGATAAAATTTAACTTTTTGATTAAGGATGGGTATTATTCTTCGGGTATATCTTCAACATAATCAAGAACTTTCTCTAACAGCAGCCTTCATATAACGCCTAAAATTGTTTGCCTTGGAGCTGTCTGAAACTATCTCATCCGCCGTGGTGTGCGTAAGAAGGGCTAGCCAAAAGATGATCAACGTCGTCATCGATAGCATGACATCAGTTTTCAACACAGATGCTTCACTGTGTTTTATTTGAAAGCCTTATTGTAGAGAAAAGAGAGAAGATGGACAGGGAAGGAACTTAGTGCTAGCTTATCACAATCATTCTGAGGTGCCTACTGCTCCACTCATCCACTCAGGCAATCTGAATAGAAACTGATAATAAGGACGCCACTGACATCGGTTGGCAGCTATATCTTGTAGTGTCTCTAACCACGTGCAGTGAAAATCACGCGGTCACCGTCCTGGAAGGCACCGACAGCACCCAAGCATTTCGTGATCTCCTTCATACTCCTCCGCCATTTCGAGGGTTGGCCGCCTCTCTGTTTACGATGCTGTAAAATGGACATGAAAAACAGCGCTTTTTTCGGCGAACAATGGTTCGGCATACGCAACACATGTCCCAACCAACGCAGCTTCTCGTGCTGGACAGCTTATTCCAAAGGTGCTCAATTAAGATAATCATCAAATCCTATATATATATATATATATATATATATATATCAATTCCAAAGATGATCGGTCTGAGTCAAAACAAATTGTCACGGTTTTAGGGCACTAAAGTTCCAATATTTTTCACTAGTGTATTTGTTAATAATGATGACAGTGAAAAAGAATGCAATTTAGTTATAAGTGATTTGTTTCCCGCTTCGACGAAAATTTGAACTACCATTTTCTACAGAGTAGCATAACATAAGATAGACAGAATTACCGAGGCAATCCATACCTTACTGCCGTAACCGTTAATAAAGCAACCAGTAAAATATGAGGTTCAAACCTTTTCTACAGAGTACTGAAGCATAAGATAGACAGAATTACCGAGGCAATCCATACCTTACTGCCGTAACCGTTAATAAAGCAACCAGTAAAATATGAGGTCGCTGTCAAACCTTTTTTGAAATCAGTAGTCTACTCAGTCTGGTTTTTAGTTTATTATTATTGCACAAAAATTAATGACACACTTCGCTTCTGAAAATATAACCGTATGAGTGCAGCCATGGTAAGTCATTTAGAGATAGTATCCTTTGACATACTGTTTAGACCTTTACCAAAAACACTCAAACCTGTAGCCCCAATGGTCCCATGACCTTCTAGATGCACTTCCCTGTCTAATGGTTAACCAGGTGAACCCAACGTACACTGCTGAAAGACGCAAAAAAGCTAGAACGTTGTGACCTACTCAAGTTACAACAACCGGCTTTCGAATTTATCAGGACATAGGCTGCAAACAACTTCACGGCTTTCTTGAAGGAATATCGGCATCAGGAATATCGGCTCATGTGAAAAACGGGGGGTATTGTCTAAGGTTGCGGAAACTTGATCACTCGGAAGTCTCCGATTTAGTGAACCATAAGGTCCTTAAAAGTACATATGCCTGCCACAGAATCTTCACCCCGATGCCTAACGGTTCAGAGACTACCTCATTGAAAATAGTGTTGCTATAGCAAAACAAGTATGCCCACAGCCAGCTTTGCCGGTTGGACCTTATATCTGTCTTCACCTACGGGGTCGACAATTTACCTCCATTCCGTTTGGAGAATGACATCAATCACCAGCATAGCATAACGCTCATAGGTTGTCAGCGCATACTTCATACCGACGTTACAATGGATTTCATCTAAACATGCCACAATGTAGGGTTGTGTTGGTCGACACAGCATATTATTTCCTCAGAATCTTTAGTGTTGGTTTGCATTTGCTCTTACAAGCAGAATTCATCTTGGAATATTGACTTTAAGGAGATTTTGATTACGGAACCCTGCCAACAAGCACCCGACGAGGCAGATGGATATCCTAGTCTCCTATGTTAAGTACGTCCGCCCTGGCAAATCTGTTATAAGCACACAAGTATATAAATTTGGACCGATTGGCCTGGACAAATTTCAAAATCCTTCAATGAGTAGGTCGTTACGTCACAAAAATGAAATGCTAATTATCGAGTCAATCATACAACCACTGACTTGCACCTCTAAACTTAATCTCTGTGCCTGGTAAAATGTTGAAACAAACTGATACATGCTTAAAGTGTTTAAGGCCGCCCTGTCATGGCGTGCTTTCTTCTACGTCAACTATACGAATGTTATTGCTGAAACTACTATAAAAACCAAGGTTAGATAGCTGTAAACACCACCTGTTCATTTGTATCACTAATCGTATATCCCACCGCCTAACAAGCTAGTCTGTTCTTTAAAAAGTCGTTAAGGTGAACACTTACTCGTAGTTTAGCACAAACTGACATAAGGGCATCCGTCCGCCGGGTGACTAAACCGTGCTGTTTTTAACCGCATCACGCCTCTTAGTCTCTTATCTCGTGTATACTACGACGTGGTTAATTTATCTAATTAGTGTTGATATGTACTCTTTTCAAATAATAATAAAATTCACTGAAGATATAGTCTACCTTCAAATTCAGCCCGCTACAACATCGCTTAGCCTTCCAAAGACACAACCTTAGTTTCCATGAGTCACGGGGAGCTTTTGTCACTTTTCTCATGATAATTCTCCAGACATTTCGAATCATTACTTTTATACCTATCATGAAACGACACGA